TGGAAAACATATTCGAAAGGAAAGTTTTAATTTTATTCAAAAGTTTTACTATGCGTTTCTTTTTCCTCTCAGTATAGTTGAAACCGTATAAGAAATTCAGGGGCGGATCCAGCAATTTTCGAAAGGTCGATGCCCCAGCACTCATGCATAGAATCACAACAGGACCTCTTGAAGTCCGTAACTACATATAGTTATAAGAAAGGGGGCTCCAAAAACAGTTGAAAAGCAAAAAAAAAACAAAAAAACACACACTCTAAGTCCTTCTGTGGGGGTAGAGGGGGCTTTCTGTAACTTTTCTCTTCGGACTGCATTATATACTTTCATGTAATGCTTGAATCTGCGTATTTTCCGGCAATAAAAACTGTGGAAGGAGCTTCCAAATCAAAATATTAATTAAAAATACAGCAAAAGATTACTCTCAGAAAAAATAAATACCCTCTATCTGCATTTTTCTTTGCATGTTATTTATGAGTGGTCGGAACTCTTAGCCGGGGTTGGGAAGGTACACAGAGGAAGGTACGCGCAAATCTACAGATCTACAGAACAGACCGGACAAAGATTTTCCATTTTTTCAAAATATTAGACTTATTCTATATTTATACAGAAATTTTTCCAACCACCGGTACACCCCTCCCCCCTCTGGATCCGTCAATGAAATTTACGCTATAAGGCTAAAAGGATGAGACTTAATTGTACTCCTGTACAAGATGTGGTGGCATCTTTGCCTAGCTGCAGATCTGTAGCGTTATGGTTTTATATATTTGTCTTTGACCATAACGCTACAGATCCTGTAATGCAAAAAAGGTGCAATTTACGGCGCAATATTTTTTGCGCGCTTTTGGGGAGAATTTCTCCACTTTCAAGCATTGGCCAATCAATTACCTTTCACTCTTTAATTCTAGACACATTCTGTAGCCAATATGTATATTTTGTACATCTCCCAACCCTTTATACTCGTCTGTACAAGTGATAAACTCGCTTGATTAAAATTATTTGTTAGATTGCTGAAAATTCACTTCTAGCGATTTTATTGCCTGTAGAGACAATTACAAATGGTTGAAAGGTGGATAAAATATACATATTGGCTACAGAATGTGTCTAGAATTAGGGAGTGAAAGGTAGTTGATTGACCAATGCTTGAAAGTGGAGAAATTCTCCCCAAAAGCGCGCAAAAAATATTGCGCCGTAAATTGCACCTATTTTGCAATACAGGATCTGTAGCGTTATGGTCAAAGACAAATATATAAAACCATAACGCTACAGATCTGCAGCTAATCTTTGCCATGGTATGCGCAGTAGACCTTGTCCCGTGTGCATTTTGCCTAATTTCTCCGAGTCCGAAAATAGTATCGCCCAAACCTGGAGTTATCGCTGTCCTACATTCCTTCACTTTATTTTTAAGCCCCACCCCCCAAAAAAAACACACATGGATATACACATCTTGCCTTAATTTTTTTTCTTTATGAATATTTTAAAGTACTCAAGCCATTCCCTTAAATATACACAGGGTCAATCTAATAGCTAAAATGGGTATAAAATGTACTATATACCGGTTAGGTAGTATATGATCCCTTATTATATACAAATAATTTCGATACCGATAATATATTCTTTAATACATTCCGAGGTTTACCAATTAGATCCTGATATATAATTTCGCATGATTTACGTTCCTATGATAGTACAAAAATAATGATGACGTAGAAAAACTTGCGCGCCATCCATCTAGCGTTAATTTAGGTAATACATGTACATGTTTTTTGCGCGCAATCTAGCGACAATTCAGTGAATAATTGTTGGTTTTGCATTGGTGATTGTTGGTTTCGCATCGGAGTCTGTTGATTTTGCAAACGAGTCTGTTGATTTTGTTTTTAAGGTTGTCTGTTTTGTATTTCATTATGTTTATAAAATTAGTAACTGTTGTTAGTTTTGCATAAACGTCTTTTTTACCCTTTCCGCCGCCCATACTGTCCCTTTGAAACTTTTAAATAGTCTTCTTGAAAAGACTAAGAAACATCCAATTTTAGATTCCTCGTCACCTGAATATAGGCTCGATTCTGTGATTATAGATATTGCATATCATAGGCTTTTTACACCCGCACATTTCACGGAAGAAAATGCAGCTAAAACAATCCGTCTTTTCCTTAAACTTCAATATGCCAATAAAGGAATTGACGCGGTTAATATAAGTAATATTCTTTGTCACAAAAGGGTCCAGTCTTGTATTACATCATATTTCAAGTTGAAGATTAATTACACCTTGTATTTCCTACAAATATGCATCGACCATTGCTTCCAAACTTTTCAATTACAAAAACACTTTACATGGCCTGGATATCAACTATCTGAAAAATAATCCCCCTTCGTGTTCATGTTCTTCTTCGCCCTATAACTATAGTCCTGCTGAACACGTTATTACAGGTGACGTAAAAATAGTTCGTAATGAGGACCTTAGATCACTTATTTTAAAAGGTCCTAAATATAGGGAACCCCGATCCTTCAACTGGCGTCGGAATTTCATAAATATTTTTATGGATTCTGTTGAAAATTACGCCAGACGATGGGCCAGATATGAAAAAGAAGACATTGACACCTTGTCAGAATGGATTAAATGTATCAGATCCATGTTAAAGTCACGTATTAGAAGATTGAGGGGTAAAATGAAAACATCTATCCTTCTGTGTTCAATAAACCAGAAGTGAAAAAAGAATTAGATAGATTACACGATCAGTACGTACTGGTTCCTGCTGACAAAGCAGGTAACAACATTGTCTTCGTTTGTAAGGCTCATTATATAAATTGCATTCTAGAAGAACCTGGATTTAATTTTACAAGTGGTAATCCTACTTACACTCATACTTCTCTTTCTAAGGAAGAAATTCTTCAAAATCACCTGTCAGTTTTGAATACTTTTAATATTCCACAGAGCCAAAATGAATTTGAACTACCTTACATATATTGGATTCCGAAACTTCATAAGAATCCTTACAAAGATACATTGCAGGTTCCAGTAAATGTTCAACCAAGCCTCTTTCGTTACTTCTCACTAAAATATTGACGGTAGTGAAAGAAAAACTTCAACTATATATTCAAGAAGTGGTGTAAATCAGATGTGGATACTTAAAAATTCTTAAGAACTTTTCGACAATTTGAAATCACAAGACTTTACAAAAATCAACAGCTTAAAAACTTACGACTTTTCAACTTTATACACAACAATTCCCCACGACAAATTAAAATCCAGGCTTTTTGATACCATTGACAGCTGCTTCTTCAACAAAAATGGAACTCGTAAATTTACTTACCTCGTCATTGGTATTTGAAAAATTATTTTGTTAAAACAGATTCTGATTGCACACGTAAGTACTCTGAAGTTAACATCAAGAAGATGCTTGAATTTCTGATTGACAATATCTATGTGGTTTTTGGAGACCAGTTATTCCAACTATCTATTGGAAAACCCATGGGTACAAATTGTGCTCCGTTATTAGCAGACTTATTTTTATATTCTTATGAAGCAGAATTTATGCAAAATCTTGTGCGTGAAAAGAAGAAAACACTTGCTGTGGCCTTCAACTCGACATTAAGATATATCGACGACGTATTTTCAATTTATAATGATAATTTCCATTCGCACGTCGACACGATATATCCTGGTGAGCTTGAGATAAAAGATACCACAGAGTCCGACACTTCTGCTTCATACTTGGATATTTTACTTGAAAAAGACACTAATGGTAATCTAACAACCAAGCTTTATGATAAACGTGATGACTTTAACTTTTCTATCGTCAACTTCCCTTACTTATGCAGCAATATACCTTCATCACCTGCATACGGAGTATATATACCGGTATATCAGTTGATTCGATACGCAAGTGCATGCTCTACATATGAACAATTTCTTAAACGAGGTAAATTATTGACAAGCAAGTTGATGAAACAAGAATATCAACAGTCTCGTTTAAAGTCATCAATTCGTAAATTCTATGGTCGATACAATGACCTTGTCAACAAATACAATTTATCATTGAATGAAATGCTGAATGTTTTTCATACCAATTATTAGTCCATTATTTATACACTGAATTGACGACGGATTTTTTCCGTTATTTCCTGATTATGACAACGAGAACACGGCGGGTGTGACCCGTCGACAGGGGATGCTCACTCCTCCATGGCACTTGATCCCACCTCTGATGTTTCGGAGGTCCGTGTTTGCTCTGCTCTTATTTTGTATATTGTTTAATGGACATTGAGATTGAATACTGTTCGTTATTTCCATATCCTTCTTTCAGCTTTTCTGGCCCAGTGGTTCTTGAGAAGAATATTTTTTAATGACCCCAACCTATTTTTGTTTTTTCTTGATTATCTCCCCTTGGAAGGGGTCTTTGCCCTTTATTTTAACAATTTAAGTTCCCTTTCACTCAAGGATGCTTTGTACCAAGTTTATTTAAAATTGGCCCAGTGGTTCTTGAGAAGAAGTTGAAAATGAGAAACTTTTCAAGACGGACGGACAGACAGACAGACGGACAGATGACGGACAACGGGTGATCAGAAAAGTTACATGAGCTTTCAGCTCAGGTGAGCTAAAAATGAATTGATTAATACTTATTCTTGGTCTGATATACTGCTAAGAATATTTTTATCGATCATTTTTTTCTATCTTACGTTTAAGGGCAGACTCCTCTAACTGCATTAAACTACCCAATGAATAGAACTCATGAGTGTGCAGTGTTTATGTAGAGCTTCCTCAAGTTCAAATGATATTTTTTACAAAGATTTTTTTCTTCGTATTTATACTTTGTATATAACAATAATGAACAAATAATGCTCATAATTTTGACCCCTCCCCCCCCCCCCCCCAAAAAATATAAATAAAATATGCAGCTTTCTGATGCGTAATGAAGTTTCAAGAACATGATGTTGTCTTTAACTACACATACAAATGTCAAAATTATTTTTTTCCAATTCATGATAAAATCTTAGACAACCTAGATTACAAAGTCAATTATCGACTAGACTTAACCACAAATTTAAATTCTTTATCATCTAGCACATCTTATATAAATGTGAGCCAAACTCATCAAATTTCCCTTTGAATAGGTTTGTTCAATTTGTCTCCAAGGTGACCCCTGGCATTAGGTTTTTCCCTGTGTTCAGGGGTATGCCTCGCTTTGGTATGTAAGAGGTTGTCCTGGGTACCATGGTGATGCAGTCAATAATTGGACACACAGACAGACACAAAGTGCAGGCTGTCAATCCTATACAATGTAAAATGAGACAGAACCAAGATAAAATTATGGTTAATTTTGTTTTTCTATTATTTCTTTAAATTCAAAGAGAATCCTTAAATTAACTAAATTAAAGAACACTGAATAGAAATAATTAATTCCCCCTCTCTCTCTCTCTCTAAATTCAGAGGTCAGATGGTTCTGGTTGACTTACCTGTGCAATCATCCGTGACTGTGGGAAGATGGGTCTTAGGATCAAACTTGATGGCCTGGTATCCAGAGTCATTACAAGTCATATAACACTTTCCACAGTTAATGCACATCTCCTAAAATTTGTATGGCAAAATTAAAATATATATTTATAGGAGAGGACTATCTAAGTTTTTTGGAATTTGTGTCTAAATCCCTTTGACATGTTGTCAATAAAATATATTCAAAACAAACAAAATATATAAAGCATACCTAAACAGTCCTGGTCCTTAAAAATTTATTTACATGAAGACAAACCTCATCAATTAAGGCCACCACTTAATTGTTCTTTGTTTTTCAGGTCTCCATAAGTTCCAATCCTGGACAAAGCCAGACCAATCACGTCCTAAATAAAGTGTACATATTTAATTATTTATACTAGGCATAATAAAAATAATTTGACAATATGTAAGTTTATTGCCAACATATTTTCAATTTGATTATAACAATTTTATCACATTCATTACTGGGGTAAATGGTCCTGAAGTCTCATTCACAGACAGAGATTTTTTTAAATCGAATTTCCGTTCGCTATTTCACTTTTTTTCTTTCCAAGCAATCAATGTCCTGCTGTATTAAAATCAAATAGAAAAATTGCAATATCTTATATACTAGTATGTTTCAACAATATTATTTTGACCAAGGATAAGAGTTCAGCACACCTTGACAATGGTTAAAGATACCCTGATAACGAGTACAGGTAAGAGCTGTACACAGGTTGAATATGAGTAGTGACAATAATTCTACAAACATTAACACTGGGTATAGGTTTCTTTGGAGCATTAGGAGGTCTCTGGAGTTCTGGCATATTCTCTTCGCTCAGCAGATCTTTCTTCTGGCAAATCTCGTCTTTCAGTGCCTCTCTCTTAGCCAAATATGGTCCAAAGGATGGGAGACTCTGAAGGAGAATAGATTTAGTTGAAAGTATCCCTACAGAGTAACATGTAACATTGCAAAATAGCAATCTTTTCAGGAAATTTGTAATTAAAAACATTTAAGGTTGTGGTACATTTTCTATAGCTTTCCGTACATCAATTCATCATTCTATTAATGACCTGCCTTTTAGATCCTTGACCTTCAGTGCCCACAATTGACCCACTACCTATAGGTGACTTACCTCTCCAATAATATTTTTGACCTTCAGTACAGGTTTTCCCAGTTGATGGGGTTCAGTAGGGGGACTCTGTCCATCCCAGTTGTGAAGTTCCTCAATACTCCTGAGGTAGAGGAGGGTCTTTAATCCTATGATGTAGTCCTCAATAATGGTGTACTCCTGGTTGTGAATGGCACTGCACACCTACAGCATTTAAAGAGAAAATATGTAGAGGAATATGAAGGTCTTAGAGAAGACCAGTGTATCTATTCACTGTTGGTAAAACCTAGCAGACATTAGCAAGAGTGCAAGTTTGGTAGTAAGCAGCCTTCGGAGAATCATTCGTACAAGTTTGGTCTGCACCACACAGTTCTTATATATTAACCAAGGAATGTGCCTTTTCACGTGTTAATGTGGTTATTCCTACAATATGTGAAACCTAAATGGTACAATATAACATACTACATGCTGTTTTGATCATTTAAAGGCATGGAAGTCTGTTCCAAAAACCTAAGATACCAAATCCGATGCCAACGGTATTACACTTTCTCCCAATTTTGTTGAGGTGAGCTTCAAATACTGCCCAAATCATGCATGTTGAGAAAAAAGACTTGAAAATACAAATACATGAACTATTTAATGAAACATGCAAAGATAACTGAGCTTATAACTGCATAACTATGAAAACACCATTTAGTGAGCGCAGTGCTTACGGTACCTCTAGTCTTACCTGTAAAACAGTGGCTCCTCCTTGTAAGAACTGTAACCCTGCCTCTGCTGAATCGATTCCCCCGGTGGCCAGAATAGGGAACCCTGGGAGCTCCCTGGCAATGGCTGTTACAGCCCTGAGAGTGATAGGTCTGATGGCATTACCAGACACGCCCCCATAGGTTGTGCGATGTTCCTTACCAACATTGGGCCAAGCAGAACCATTACTTTTGAGGCCCATCAGACCTGACACAGTGTTTGTAGCAGTCACCCCGTCAGCATTACCTGTAACACATCAAGTCTTTATATAATTACATTGTTCATCTTTTATAAAGTTTATAACATCCTAACATCTTTTTTCCATTGGTGCCTAGGTGGGGGCAAAAACCTTACTGGTACATGTATTCCAATCCATTCAAGACTTTTTTCACTTGTATATGCCTTTCTAACTTTTGAAGAAATAGAATTTGTGACTATTAGTATCTCATCACACAGTATTAAATCACCTTCTTTGGCCGCTTTGGCAATGGAGACAACACTGGTCACATTAGGGATCAGTTTGGCAAAGAATGGGATTTGAACCGCCTCTCTCACCCAGCGGCAGATGTTTCTAACCAACTCAGGATCCTGAAACAAAGGAAGTAAAGTCCACAGTTAATCACACAGACCAATTCTGTCAAGAGGAACTTTATTATCCAACAAAACATGGACAATTATTAGAAGAGATTGATTTCTCACCTGTCCACAGTCCAGTCCCATTCCTCGTTCTCCCATACCATGGGGGCAAGAGAGATTTAACTCCAGTGCATCAGAACCAGCTTTTTATAATTAAAGTACAGAATATGTTTATATATTCTTAATCATTTTTTCTTTTTTAAATCAAACTCCAAAATTTAGACAAGTTCTGTTTTATAAAATATCATTGTGTATAAAAACCTGATAATAATCAGAGTAATGCAGTGTGCAATAAATTGCATCAGAAATGAAGTATGAATTCAAAGTTATAGACTGATGTCTAAAATCTACTTGTTAAAATCATTTTTATTTTTTTCGTTTAAATCGGCCATCTTGGCTAGCTCAGTCCCGTCCTCTTTGTTATAACTACACATGATACTAATACTGCCTATCACAATCTGTAACAGAAATGTTTATCTAAACATGTTTAGATTTCTGAAGTTCCAACAAGTTGAGGAAAGTCTGTTTAGGTTTGTGAAACACTTAGATGTTGAGGGGCATCTATTAATGTTTGTGAAGTACTTACATGTTGAGGGAAGTCCCGTTTGAGTTCTGTGATGCTCTGACACCAGCAGGCTTCTGTCTTCTCACTGATCAGTTCTATGTTGAGGTAGGCACCCTGTCCTGGTCCGTAGATATGACCTGAGGTTGTCCCCCTCACTATTCTTGAGGAAACATTTGTCACAATATCCTATTTAACAATATCATAATTAAACTTCAATGGAAAGCAATTTTAATGAAGACCCAAAGAAAATATAATATTTTCCCCCAAAAGCATATAGATATGACCTGAGGTTGTTCCCCTCACTATTCTTGAGGAAACATTTGTCATGATGTCCTGTTAAATAATATTGTAAGCTTCCTCAGCACCCTGTCAAATGCCAATCAGCTTACAGTGTTTCCATCCCGTGTAAATTTAGTTAATTTATATTTTATCAGGACTACTCATGACATCCGTCCACATATAAAAAAAAGGGGGGGGGGGGGCATCCTCCGCCCGTCGCATGTATTTAAACACCATAAATAATTTACTTCACATCCTTGTATATCATAACCAAGTTCCATTGCTCGTTTCAAATATTTCATTTAATAAAGACTTCAAAGTTCAATGAAATATAACAAAACAGTCAGTACATCTATGAGTATATAACAGCTGTATAATGTCCTAGCTTAACATCTCTGATCTAATAAAATACAGTGGATTGCGGTGTCCGTGCGGTGGAGAAATTATACGCTACTTAATTTGTATTAGTTTACATTGTTTTCTTATACCCAAGTCGCTAGTAATTTACAGTCAGTGATTTTGATGACGTTACGATCTTCGTGATGAAACTGGCGTTCGCTGCTCATATATATAACCTTCTATAAATGCTCACGTGATCACAACAACCAATGAATAATTGTCCTTTCTGGAGCCTCTCAGAACTACTTTACATACATTTTGTGTAATACAAAGAAAATAACATCGCTCAAAATGTCCTCTCTACATGTAAAGTGGGAGCTATAAATTCTATTCAATATACATAATAAAACAAGTTCAACAAACAATCTATAATAAAATGGACACACACAATCCATGGCGTAGTAATACCAAACAATAATGCAAAC